TCCAGATATTAGGACTAAGTTGCAGAGATTAGATAATTTATAAGATTATAGCCTGCAGGATCTCGTAAAGGAAGCAAAAAAGATCTTTAAAAAGAGAGAAACACCTGAGATTAAAAAAAAAAAAAAAAAAAGACTTAGAAAGTTGCAGGAGGAAAGAGAGGACAAGTTTAAGAAGGAGCTAAAGGAGGAGAGAGAGAGAGAGAGAGAGAGAGAGAGAGAGAGAGAGAGAGAGAGAGAGAGAGAGAGAGGGATCATAGGAACCGGAGAGAATTAAGCAAAATTCTGGCCACTGTAGCTCAGAATAATCATAGTGCAGGAAGTCAGGAAAGAAAGGAAAAAGGAAGGAGGCCCAGGGTAGATCGAGACCAGTGTGCCTACTGCAAAGAAAAGGCCATTGGGTCAAAGATTGCCCTAAGAGACCTAAAAATCAGAGGCATGGGGACGGACCCCAAAGACCAACTCAGCTTCTAGCCCTAGATTAAGACTAGGGCAGTTGGGGCCAGGAGCCCCCTCCCCCAGCCCAGGCTAACCTTAAAAGTCGGGGGGAGGGGCAGCTAGTCACCTTCCTGGTGGACACTGGAGCCCAACATTTAGTTCTCACCGAAACGCACGGGCCATTGAGTACCAAAACAGCTTGGGTACAAGGAGCCACCGGAGAAAAACAATACCGATGGACCACGGAGAGAAAAGTTCATCTCGCATCAGGTAAAGTCTCACATTCCTTTTTGCATGTACCGGACTGTCCATATCCATTACTGGGTCGAGATCTACTGACTAAATTAAAAGCCCAGATCCATTTTGAAGGATCAGGAGCTAAAGTCTCTGGCCCACAAGGGGCTCCACTTCAAATATTAACTTTACAATTGGAAAATAAATATAGACTTTTTAAAAAAGCCTCCTGAACAGCAGGAAGGAATGGACTTATGGTTAAAACAACACCCCCTGGCCTGGGCAGAAACAGGGGGCATGGGCTGGCCATACAACAGCCACCCCTAATAATAACCCTGAACCCAGCCACCTTGTTACCACTGCTGGAGGAACCAGCCTCCCATGACTGTCAGCAGATCCTTGCAGAGATGCATGGAATATGTCCTGATCTGACCGATCAGCCCTTGAAAGATACAGACTACACCTGGTTCACAGACAGCAGCAGCTACTTGCTAAATGGTGAGAGACGGGCAGGGGCTGCAGTGACGAATGCCTCAGAGGTCATATGGGTCACTGCACTCCCCGGAGGCACCTCTGCTCAGCGAGCTGAACCCTTTGCTCTGACTCAGGCTCTCCAGATAGCAGCAGGTAAGAAGCTTAATATGTACACTGATAGCCGGTATGCCTTTGCCACTGCCCATGTCCATGGAGAAATTTATCGGAGAAGGGGCCTTTTAACATCAGAAGGCAAAGAAATCAAAAATAAAAATAAAATCTTGACATTATTAAAGGCCCTGTTCCTTCCTAAAAAATTGAGCATAATGCATTGCCCTGGACATCAAAAGGGGGAAAGCCTGGAGGCAAAAGGAAATCGCCTGGCTGATGAAGCAGCCAAACAAGCAGCCTTAAGCCCCCAACTATTGACTATTAGCATATTGACTGAAAAGAAAACAGCTAAGACTCCAGATTGGGACTATGATGAAACGGATTTGGACATTGTTCAGAAACTAGGTGCAGATTATGACCCCAATCGGCAATGCTGGGTCTACCAAGGAAAGACTATACTGCCTATAAAAATGGCAAAAATGTTAATAGACCACCTCCATAAGCTGACTCATTTGAGTGCCAAAAAGATGAAAACTTTGCTAGATAAACAAGAAATTGGAACTTACCTTCCCAATCGGAATTTATTACTGGAACAAGTAACTGCTAACTGTCTGGCCTGTGCCCAGATCAACCAAGGAAAAACCAAACTGGATCCTGGAACCCGGCTTCGTGGCCATAGGCCTGGTGTCCATTGGGAAATAGACTTTACTGAAGTCAAACCTGAAATGTATGGTTATAAATATTTACTGGTTTTTATAGACACCTTTTCAGGATGGGTAAAAGTGTTTCCTACCAAACATGAGACTGCAAAAATGGTCACCAAGAAACTATTGGAAGAAATCTTTCCCAGATATGGGATGCCACAGGTAATAGGATCAGACAATGGGCCTGCCTTCGTCTCCCAGGTAAGTCAGCTGGTGGCCAGGTTGCTGGGGATAAATTGGAAATTACATTGTGCTTACAGACCCTAGAGTTCAGGACAGGTAGAAAGGATGAATAGAACCATTAAGGAGGCTTTATCCAAATTAACGCTTGAAACTGGCTTTAAAAGCAGGTACCAGATCAAATATGATAATTTTCTTTCTCTCATCAGAAAGCTTGATCATTGCTCTATAACTGTAGGAGTTTTATTCCTGAACCTCAGAAAAACCACTTAACAAACACAAAATTATAAAAAGAGTATTCTTCGTGGAAAGTTGAAAATTTAGAGAGGAATGGAGCTAGGAAGATTTTTGTGTATGACCACTACTGTTAGCCAGCACATCTTACTCAGTGAGCAGTTTTAAACAATCTGCATTATTCAAGAATTCAAGCTTTGTAAGATCCTCAGAATGAGGAGTCTCCCAGTTTCCATCGGTATCCCCAAGAACTCAATGTCCAGTCCAGTTGCTTCAACATGCAAGAGGCTTTAATGAACACGAAACATTTGTGCAAAGGGGCCCCTCCAGCAGGTAGACTAGTGAGAAGAAGCCATCTCCTCCCTCCACCCCGCCACACGGCACAGGTGTTTTTAAAGGCAAATACCCCAAGCTTAGGGAGGGGGTGGGACCCTCTGTCCATTGAGTACATGACCCTTTGAGGCTGGTCTCCCTATTAGGGTCAACAGACCTTAGGGCCTCAGGGTGTGCTAATTAATCTTGTCTGGGCAAACCGGAGGTGCAGTTATCTATTTGTTTCTTAAAGACCCCATTCACCACCTGCTGACTCACAAGAAAGGAGGGGCAGTGTAAATTCTTGGAATCTTGTTTTCTCAGGGCCTTGTGAGGGGAAGTTAGCAGATTCCAAGGAACAGATATTGCTAGGGGTTAACTTTCCAGGTTAGTATGTCCTTCATTTAAAGTGGGGCGTTTCTCTAACTTTACTTTTTTGTCTTTCACGCCCTATATCTTATCTCTAGAGAGTAAAGTTCTAGTACTCTGATCTACAAAGCACCCCACCCAGATCCCGCACTTTCCCCACCCTGTGTCCTACTGCGCCCACTGCTCCACTGGTCTGGTTGAGCACTGGGACCGAGAGCGGGTCAAATAAACACCTCCACCTCCAGAAAATTTCTTGGACCTGCTTTGAAAATACTGGACCCCTCTATCCCGCTGGAGCAACCAGTGTGCCAGCCTGCCTGATGTTTATCCGTCATTACTGAGGCTCTGCCGGGGGAGAGACCTCCTAGAGTGACCGGAACACACAGAGTTACAGACATTGAGCACCTCTCACAACTCTGTCCCCAGGAACTCCTTCTCAAACACACGGTTCCTGGACTGTCCCCTGCACAAGCGGCTGCGATCTCACAAGCGGCTGAGATCTCAGGACTTCCGCCTTCCGGTCACGAACTAAAGCTTCCGGTTCGTGGCTGTCAGTGTCCCCGGAAGACACACATGGAAAACATGCTTCTAGTTCCACCCGGCCAAACTGACACACGATTTCCGCTTGTGAACCAAGGACGTCAGGCTTCCAGTCACTGACTTGAGCTTCACACAAAATGGTCCCCAGGAAAGGTTGCAACGAAGAGATGCACAACTTGAGTTCCACCCATGAAGTAAACAGGACGGAGTGTGCTGCGGCCTGAGTTCCGCTTCCGGCACATTACTTCCGCTTACGGATGGTGCAACATGCGATTCCCTGCCCAATGGACAGCGATTAAATTGGATCCACTTTCGGCCCAGGACTGGAATTGATCGCATCGGACATTGCGGGCCGGATAGGAAACGCCTTAAGGGACGGGACTAACAGGTCCAAGTGAACAGGTCAGAAACGGCTGATTCTGACCGCAAAAGAGGCAGCACAGAGCATATCCCCTGTCACTCATCGAGGCGGTAGGTGGGACTTCCGGGTGCGGCGAACAGGGCAGAAACAGAGATCGCAACCCTAGGTCCGTGCACCCCTCTGGTTTTCGCTGTTTCCTGTTTATGCCACGGTTGGCAGCAGGGTTCCTGTTGCCGGGGAAACCGGGGTGGGACTTCCGGCAACATGGTAAATCGGGGCGGGACTTCTGCATGGGAGCATTGACCAGGAATTAATGACTTCTGAGAGGTTCCCAGGGGATGGGCGGTGTCACGGGAGCTGTGATGTCAGAGGAGTTACAGGCGTGGCCTGTAGGGCACACAGCTGTCAATCAAACACCTGTCATTCAATCATTCATTCACTCATTCATTCAGTCATTCACTCAGCCACTCATTCATTCAATCACTCATTCATTTAGTCATTCATTCATTTATTCAGTCATTAATTCATTTACTCAGTCATTCACTCATTCATTCAGTCATTCATTCAATCATTCATTCATGTAGTCATTCATTCATTGATTCAGTCATTAATTAGTTCATTCAGTCATTCATTCACTCATTCAGTCAAAGGTCAGTCATTCATGAAGTAATTCAGTCATTTCAGTCATTCATTCATTAGCTCATTCATTCATTCATACATTCATTCATTTACTCATCCATTCAGTCATTAACTCATTAATTCATTGTACAATCATTCATTCATTGAATCACTTCCTGTGTGTGCTGGAGGCAGGACTTGCGGTCCCTGAGGCTAAGGCTCTGACATAGACAGGAGCAGGCAGGATTTCCTGTTTCCTTTTACCTACACTGTAGCCCATGACCATCTTGAACCCCGCCGTCTTTTTTGCGCACCCAGGGGCAGGAAATAAGTCCCATCATCTCGGAGGAACCGGAATTGGTTGTCTCAAGCCGGAAGTGGACAATTTCTGGTCCCTCCCAGAACGGAAGTGAACCCCCAGACCGGAAATGTGCGATCCTTTCAACATGGAGCTGGTTCCACTCACCAGGCTGCTGCAGGGGAAGAGGGTGGTGCTGGGGAGCAGCTCCCCCCAGGAGGCGGGGCATCCTGTCCTCCATGGTGACTTCCAGGGGCAGGGCCTGCTCTGGGATTGTCAGCTGTGACTTCCAGGGGTGGGGCCTGCTGTGACTGACAGGAGGTCATACCCTCCCCACTTCCAGGAGTCCCTGGAGAAGGCGAGATTTCCGGCTACGCCCGAATATGCCCGGGAGACAGCAAAGCTGAAGGCTCTGGAGGTGGCGTCGCGGCTGAGGCTGCACAGGGTGAGGACAGCCCCATCCCTTCTGGTCAGGTGGTAGGCCGCACCCCTTCCTTTCGAGGCCCCGCCCACAAGCCTCACCCCGCCCTCTGCTCTGCAGGACCTGCACCCTCCTGATGTCATTATTGGAGCTGACACCATTGTGGTGAGTGAGGCCCTGCTCCTTCCGGCCCTGCCCACCCTGCCCCTCACTGATCCGGCCCCTTGGCGTCTGGCTTCGCCCACTGCAGGCCTTGGATGGCTTCATCCTGGAGAAGCCAAAGGACAAGGATGATGCCTACAGGATGCTGCGCAGGTGGGCGGGGCCTGAAGGGGCGGGGCAGACACACCCACGGCAGAGTGGGCGGGGCCTCTGCATGGAGCTCCAGCCTCTGCCCACCCCAGCCCTGCCCCTTGCCAACCACGCCTGTCCCGCCTTCCCTGGCCCCGCCCAGGCTGAGTGGCCAGCAGCACAGTGTCATCACCGGTGTGGCCATCTTGAGGCCACTGTGGCAGAGGCAGCTTCAGGAGCCGAGCTCCACATGCCCAGAGGCCCCAGAGGTGGAAGGGGACCCAGAAGCAGAAGTGGAATTGTCACTGTTCCATGAAGAGACCCGTGTGACATTCTCGCGGCTATCGGAGCCACGGCTCTGCGAATACGTGGAGAGCGGGGAGCCTCTGTGAGTGGGTGCGGGGGTGGGGTGGGTGGGGCCAGGGAAACCTGGAAGTGAGGCCTGAAAAGGAAGAGCTGTCCCCGGCGGGCGTGGGTGTGGCTGAGCATGGCACCTGGTGTGACCTCGTCCTTGCCTTGCACCCAGGGACAAGGCTGGCACCTACGGGCTTCAGGCGCGAGGCGGTGCCCTAGCAGAGCGCGTGGAAGGGGATTTCTTCAATGCCGTGGGGTTTCCACTCAACCGCTGCATGCGTGAGCTGGCTGCCATCTTCCCGGATGTGGGACCACACGTCCCTGTCAGCCAGCATCCGGCCACACCCCAATAATGAGGATTGTAGATGGAGAATGAGTATGTGAGTATTGCGGTAAATAAGGATCAGGATAAACAAATAGGCCGAATAGATGTTTAATCAGGGAGAAATAACTTACAACCTAGACAGATGAACACCAGGAAATTCAACCCGATCCTCTCCTGTCTGAGTCACGCCAGAAAGAGAGAGCGCCTTCCTGGCCCCCTCCGACCTCCTTCCTCAGGTCCTCTCCGCCCATCGCTCCACCCCCCAATGGGCGTAGTCAGTGCTACAGAAGGACTACCTCACTACAATTCCCCTTTTAGTCTAAAGAAAAGGTTTAGGCTTAATACAAAACTATATACAAAACAGTGAATAACAAGTGTGCTCTAAGAAAAGGAAAATCGAGAACAAAATGACCTACATATCTAGTCCTAGGGTGAGGGCATAATGGAGTTTACAATAGAGTTGTCCTAAGCTGGAAAACGTAAGTCTAGTACCTAATATATCTAACTAGGAAGAGAGAATAATAGTTGTGATAGTTTAATCTTCAACCTCATCAAGACCTGAGAAGGAAATTAACAATACTAGAGTAGACAGGAAATGCGGATGGACAACTTCCAAAAGGTGCAGCAAGGACAGAAACAGCAAGCCACCTGAACAGTCACCCTAGGTCTCACAGCGACGTTGGTACACCCAGATTTGGCTAAGGCCAAGAGAACTTGACAGACCACAACAACAGCAGGGAAATAGAATGGCTGTCTTATCCTGACTTGGCAAGGTCAAGCAGTCTTCTATAATTGTCTCCTGCAAGCACATAGGACTGCATGTCCAAATCAGTGGTCAAGATGGGGGCAATTCTATGCCCAACAGGCCATTAGCTGAGGCGAGATTGAACTCCAGCAGGAGCAACAACAGTGTCCAACATATTTTCGGGAAAGTGCACGGTGCTGTCAGGAGCAACAGTGTCTCATGTCAATGGAGTACTAATATTAAAACATTTAAATGCCATGTTCTGCATGTCTATGAAGTGATTGAAGATTAAGCATCTATATCTGACTAATCTCATAGGTACAGGAAATGTGAGTGAAGATAATCTGTAATACTCGGGAACTTAGCTAAAAAGACTCATTAAAACTTTCCTGAGTAAAGCAGGAACAAATACTTAAACAATATAACTATTTACATATACCTACATGTAAATCCCTAAAATAGAGGTAGAGTATAAGTGTCAAGACAAGAGGTAGAACTATAATGGGCAGCAAGATAAATATCCCAAATTGTATCAATATACAAAATGTCTTGAATACAGGAAAAGTATACATACATAGAATATGGTAAAAAATAATGTGCATAAAATATTATAAGTGGAAACATTTAACACAATATAACAAAATATAAACTTAATTTTACATAGCTTACCACATAGGAATACATAACAATGTAAGCTGTAAAATACTATCTCATTCATACTCAAATTCTCAAGGAAATAGGCTAATCTACTTATATCCCATCTAAACCATACCTTTACCCACCATTCCCTATTCCTGTCTAAAAGATAAACCTGAGTGTAAGCATCACCCAATCCCAAATAACTAAAACCAACCCAAAGACGATGACTATTATCCCAAAATTCCAAGGGTAGGGAAAGGGGGCGTAGTCATATTAAGATTACTTCCTGCTGAAATGGGACGATGGGGGGTGGAGAGGGGGCCAGGAAGGCGCTCTCTCTTTCTGGCGTGACTCGGACAGGAGAGGATCGGGTTGAATTTCCTGGTGTTCATCTGTCTAGGTTGTAAGTTATTTCTCCCTGATTAAACATCTATTCGGCCTATTTGTTTATCCTGATCCTTATTTACAGCAATATGTGAGTGACTGTCCGGGCGGGTATTCTGGTGAGAGAGTGACTGAAGGGGCGGGGCTTCTGGTGAGTTTGTGAAGCAGTGACCCATTTCCCATGATGCCCTTGGTGCATTGTGTTTGATTGACAGAGCAAGCTTCCCTCAAGTGCATCACTTCCCAGTGCTAGGACACAGGACATGGGGTGAGGTGTGTGGAGGCAGGGTTAGGGGACAGGCCCACCGAGGGGAGTACACCTAAACCCACCCCTGTGGCCCCGCCCCTCCTGATGTCCCGCCCTCACCATCTCCATGGGCCCTGCCCTTGCCACCACTGGGTCCTGCATGAGCATCTTCACCATCAGATGCCTGTGATGGACATTTGACATCAGGAGCAGGGTCAGAGGAGGCCCCACCACCTGCCTGCACTCTGATTTGCATATTCAAGAGCTGCCTGGAGACTCAGAAGACATCAAGTACAGAAACTGCTGGGGTTAATTTGCATGGCCACACCTCCAAATGACCTAACCTGCATGTATTTTCAGGTCAAAGTCCCAAACAGATAGGAATACTTGCATTCATTTGCATAGCAAAAGCATGCAAAGCAGCACAAATTTGCATATTAAAGTATATTTCCGAAACTGCGGTTTACTCATTTACATACTGAAATGTGAAGCCCCAATCAGACTGCCAGATTTTCAGGCTCTGTGCTTATTTGCATAATCAAAATTACTAGTGCATCCTTTACATAACAGTTTAGTAGCCTCATTTGCATATTTAAATGAGTGGCAGGGTTTTACTGCTCAGCATCAGGCCCCACCTCTTCAGGACTACCTTGGCTCACCTATCCCCTACCCCGAGGTCACAGTGTCCAAGGTCACAATCAGTGACCCTCTCCAGGCCCTGCCCTCAACCACACCAGGCCCTTCCCCACTTTCTCTCCTAGGGTCCCCGAGGGCAGGGCCGGGGTCTGGGTATTACCTATGGTGCAGACAGGACTTGGTCCGGGCAATGACATCACAGGAAATTGTGACCGTGATCAGGAAGTGCCCTCCTTCCCTACCCTCACCATCTCCACCCTCAGCTGGGCATGGCAGGAATCTCCTACCAAACTCTTAGGTTACCAAGCAGCAATGCTAGGACCCAGAGGGCGGTGGCCATGGTGAGCAGGTTATAAGAGTAAAAACCCTGAGGATGCTGAGTGTGGCCCCTGTGACATCACAGAACTCACCCCTCCAGGCCCTTGTGATGTCAGTCACCGCAGGCCCTGCCCCTCCAGCTGTCAATCACTACAGACCCCACCTCCTGCCTCTGGGCCATGAGGTCTGCTGAGGGTGTGATCTACAGGCTGACTGGGCGGGGCCATGTCAGCTATCTTCATAAAGGTAGAGGGGCAGGCTGCAAGCCGAGGGCGGGACTTCCTGGCAAGGGAAACCTGGCAGTAGAGACTCAGGTCAATCATCAAGGGTGGGGCATGACTACTTCTGCTCCCAGATCGCAGCAGCCAAGGATGACCTGAGCCAGGGCCATCAGGAACTTTTGTAACTGCTGTGGCTGGGACTGCATTTCCCAGCATCCTATGCGGCCACTTACTGCTGCGCTGCCCAGAGACTTCTGGGTTTGGATGTTCATGTCCAGGACTGCATTTCCTAGCATCCTGTGCGGTCGATTCCTGCTTTTATGCCCAGGGATTTCTGGTTTTCATCTGTACTGGCCAGGGACTGTAGTTCCCAACATGCTCTGCGGTGGCTTTCTCTTTTTCAGCAATGAAACTTCCAGTTTGTAGTTTTTGGAGGCCCAGGACTCCATTTCCCAGCATTCTCTGTGGCCACTTCCTGCTTCCCTGCCCAGGGACTTCTTATTTTCATCTTTGGCAGCCAAGGACTATATTTCCCAGCATGATTTGTGTCCGCTTTTCTATGAATGGACTTCCGGTTAAAAACTTTGGGGTCCAGAACTGCACTTCCCAGCATGCTGTGTGGCTGCTTCTTTCTTTTCTCCCCTTGACATTCTCTTCTGGACTTCAAGGACCCTAACTACAGTTCCCAGCATGTGCTGGGCTTGTTTCGATCTTTTCAGTTCCTAAACTTCTTCTGGTCTCTGACGTTCCAGGACAACATTTCTCATCTTCCTGTGGTGCCGCGTCCTGTTTTTCAGTCCTGAAATTCCACCATTTAAAGGCACATAATAATTTAGAAATATTTGAGACTTAGAACAGTTGAATTTAAGTTGTATGAAGTTAGCTTACATTTACATAAAGTTAAGTTGAAATCGAATGTACAGATATATTATTCAGGACTGGGTAAATTGAGAAGGACAAGAGTGTGAAGCTATGTATAACATAGTCAGAGAAAAAAGATATTACAAAGAATAAAAGGCAAACGGTAAATGACTTACAGGTTCTGTTGGTGGCAGAAGCTGGCTAGACTCTTTCTGCCTAGATGGCTGATGTAGCAGAAAGAAGAACCATGGTGGGTAAAGCTAGGCCACATGGTCAAGATGGTGGCTGCCATAAACATATTCCCAACAGCTGAAAGAAATCCTAAAGTTTTGAGATGTAATTTTGTCTTGAGCAGATGCTGCCTCAGCCCAGCCCACCATGCTGAGACAGGTTGCAGCTGGGGCAGGCAGGAGAATTTGAGCGTGCCGGGAAGAGAACCGAAACAAGTTTAGGGAAAGAGATTGTTTAGCAGAGATATTAAAAAAAAATGCCTTCCATCTATCTGTTCCCTGGCAGTAATTTGAAAGATCCCATAAAATATCGGGATCTAGAGAGCCGTTATGTGGCCAATTTGAATTATTTTCTAGGGCATATCTAGGCTACTTTTCAGTACAAAGGTAAATAAGTCTGGGTGACTTTACAAGGGGCATTAAGTGAAAGGGTTTTAAATTTTCTATCAGGCATCCCAGTGGAGTGGTGGGGGATATTTCCTTGGTCGGTTTATTCCCCATGGGTGGAGTGAAAGTGACCATGCAGTCTTGGAACTCATCAGCCCAAGAGTGTGGCCACAAGAGTGTGTCGCGAGAATGGCAGAGCGTTATTCAAAGCTCGTTAGGCCCGAAAACGTTGCCAGGACCAACAGAGGCCGGAAATACTCAGCAGTCTGAGAGCAGAGCCAATATACCACACTGGGCAGTATGTCTTCCACCCATGGAATGTACCTGACCTTAAGGAATTGGGTTAAAATGTAAAAGGGTACCTTACCTAATTGAAGCCTGTGTGGGATGGTATTTCCAGTGAACGGGGGGGGGGG